CTTTGCCAGTCATCCACTTCAAGAGCTTTTTTTCTTTCTTCCTGTCCTTAGAGTGAGAAGGATGAGACTCTTGGCTCCTGGAACTGTTTCCTAGAGCAAGTGGATCATTGCACAGATACTTGCTAAGTTGTGTTTTCTGGAGGACAGTTAGGAACAACTCCAAACAGCTCAGGAAAGGCACTGCTTTTGGGAAAGTTCTTCAAAAGACTTCGGGAAAAGCTCCAACATGACATGTTTTTCACCAGGGTTGAAGGCAGAGGGCTGAATGGCTGGGAGTGGTCTCTTCAAGAACTAGAGTGCTTAGAGGAAGTGCAGAAGCAACTAGGTTCACCAGGAAGCCATGGTGTTCCCCCCTGCTTCTGAAACATACTCCAGAGGAACTGGTGCCTGCTCAGTCCTGGAAGAGCTTTCTGGGTTGGATCCTGTATTACCATGTGAATCCACCCTGCTGAAGAAGTGCACGTCACTGGCTGGGAGCTGCTGTGATGGACTGACTTCTCTGTAGTACAATAAGATTTACAACACACCCATGCTAAATATTTACTTAATGTGAGGCTGCAGAAGGGGAAAAGAGCATGCGGATGTATTCACTGACAAGCGTAGGGTCTGAAGGAGTGTGGAAAGATAGGACTGCCCTAGCTTAAAAGAGTTTGCTGTGTTTCAGCTATAACTAAAATTGGTGAATAAAAAATTGTTATGTGTGCACCACCATTATTTGTTTGAATTGAAGCATATTCTGCTGTTTTTAATGTTAGATATTTTTAAGTTAAATCTTCAGTTCAGTTTCTAGGGATTACTGTATTTTTCAGTCCGAGATTGTGTTGGAATAATGTATTTGTTTTGGATTTTGCAGATTGCCTTCATGACCTTGACTCTGTTTCCTATCCGACTCTTTTTTGCTGCTTTTATGATGTTGCTGGCCTGGCCTTTTGCATTCATTGCTTCAATGGGATCTGACGAGCAACAACTTGAAAAGCCCCTCTCCTGGTGGCGAAAGTGAGTTACTGATGTGGTGAAATACTGAGAGGATCATTATTTAGTTCAGCAGTTTGAAATGGAGAATACTGGAAATGCCTTGTATCTGTCCCACAGACCTGCTTTTCTCTTCAAAAGAAAAATGTAAAAAATGTTATTTTAAGACTTTCCTCTGATAGGAAACTAAAAATACCTCAGCTGTTTGATTTACTAGGTGACCCCAGAATAACAGGGAGAAAACCTGATCATCTCTGGCCTCTTATCTTTGAAGAGGATGTAGTGTGAAGCTTCATTGTGACATCCTTCAATTTCAATTATTCCTGTAATGTCAACTTCTTATTATGAAAATTGACACTATGGAATGTGCCCAGATTGCATATTCTAAATTGTTGTTTTAAGCTGCTTCACCCCATTGTTTGCTACCCTGTGATGAAATTACAAAACTTCTCTTGATTCTCCGAGTGCTTGCCCCATGCTTTGGTGCTTATTAATAAGTCTGTGCCTGTTTTGATATTGGAATGCTGATTAAGGTGGAATGCAAGATAAGTGTTCATCCATCCGTGAAAACTGCTCTTTGAGGAGCAAGGAAGGAGGAGTGTATTGCCTCTTTTGTAGAGAACTTTAAAATTAGGAGCTGACACTAGCATGAGGGAAATTGATTGTATTTTGCATCACAGGAGGGAAGGATGTTGAGAACTACAGAGGCATATCACTTTACATTTCATTTGGAAAGATATCAGTGTAATAACTAAAGGAATCATGGACTGCATTCAATTTTGCATACAGTTATTTTGAAGCTTTTTAAATTCTCCCTCCCCCATTTCATCCAGTTTTCAGTGTTGCCCTGCTCTCCAGCCTCCGTTCCCTTGTGTATAACAATTTGTGGTGTTTGGTTTTTGCACTCTGTTGGTTCAAAATAAATGTTTCTCTTTTCAGTTTGAAAAACAAGCAAACAAAACCCCACAAAAAACCCAAAACAAAACACTTCAGGAGATGAGGAAAAGGGAAGAAAGTAAATATTACCAAAGCTCCCAGATGTTTTCTGCAGGCATCTCCATGTTTGAGAATCTCTGCCCAATGTTTTTCTGCTGTTTGTAGAAACCAACGAGTCAGGGTTATTGCATTCTAGCAATATCCTAGTAGCGTTTTTCAGGACTTGGTTTATTAGAGCTTTTTTGGAGTTACTAGAAAGCATTGTTAGATGTTGTATAGAAGAAACTCAACAGTCATAGTCTGAATCAAAAAAAAATTTAGTGATAGAATAAATGCCAATCTTACTGTGATTAAAAAGAATTAATATTCAGGCATGAAATGAAATTGAATGGTGTCTTACCTTGAAAGTGGTCCTAAACCTGCTGAGAAAGAAAAAAGAAAAGGTCTATGCAGTGTTCCCACTCTGTTTAAGCAGCGTATCCTATCTGTACTTCTGTCATGCTTGTAAAGATTTTATGTAACGTTTTTATTATTTTAAAGTATTCCTGTGTCAGCATAACGATTTCTCAACTCTTTACAGGATAGTGGATATTTTGCTGAAAGCAATTATGAGGATGATGTGGCTTGCTGGTGGATTTCACTGGATAAATGTAAAAGGCAGACGGGCATTGCCGGAGGAAGCAGCAATATTAACTGTGGCTCCCCATTCTTCCTACTTTGATGCCATTCCAGTGACTATGACCTTCGCCTCCATTGTGATGAAAGCAGAAAGCAAAGATATTCCTCTTTGGGGAAGTAAGTTGGTAGATACTTTATTTTTCAAGAACGATTAAAAATGTTTACTTAGGAAGTTCACTGGTTGTGTATGAGAAGGCCTGAAACACAAAGAAAATTTTGCTATAAGGTATGATGAGATTTTTTGGGGTTTTTTACTGGTCGATGTTGAAAGTCAACAGAAAAAATTGAGGGGGGATGTTGTTTTTTTCCCTTTCTCCAAAGTTGCATCAATATACAAGGTCAAAACAATCCTACAGAACTCATGCTTAGATTTGACGTGAAATTGAAATATTTTAAGACCCAGCAAATAAAAAAACAAGTTAGGATGGGACTATAGAAGCAAAGGATGAGGCTTCAGAGGAAGTCCACCGAAAATTCTTTCTTGGTGTGAGTCAGGGTGCCATCCCAGACGTGTTTTAGGAATGTTGTGTCCTCTGAATGGTACTCTGCCTTGAGGGAGTGCTGCTAATCCTTCACGCTCAATAATTTTGTTTCAGGTAGAGTGTGAGAGATGAATAAAAGCAGATTGTTATGCACTCAGATTTAGTTATAAGACAGAGAGATGCCCCAAATCTGTAGTGTTTGAATACTGTCTTTGGAATTATCAGTGTAGATTCTCACAATGGCTTGAGAGAGACCTGGGATTTTTTGGTGCAGTTGTGGCAAAAAAATGTGTAAGCCTTTAAGCTTGTAGACTTCTAACTAAAGTCTGTGCAGAAGCATTTTCAGTAAACCCACCGTGTCATGTCTAGGGACCAACAAAGTTCAAAGAATCTTCCTGTGTCTCATTATATAGATCTTAAGGGTAGCATGAAAAGGACAAAAGATTTTGCTTTGGCCTTGGGTAAGGACTTTTTAATTTAAAAGTCTAAACAAAAGCTTTGAGTTCTTTTGCAACTAAGTGGGATCATGCTGTTGATGTTGACATAGTCCTAAAATTTCATTAGACAATGTGGTTTTAAGGATGTGTTCAAAACCAGACGCTGAGATGTGACCACAAATGGTGAGTGGTTACACCTGGAAGCTTTGTGTAGGAAATCTCTTGGTGTAAAGGTCTCTCTGTATCAGATAGAGCTCAGGCCAGAACTGTAGCTGTATCTCAATTTCATTGAATACCTGACTAATAGAGTTTAGTAAAAGTTTGTGGCAGTAAAAAATCTGTGTAAAAATGAATAGATGCTTGAACAAAAAGGGTGTAGATATGTGTTTTTAAAAACAAACATGTACAAACAAGCATAGTGTGAAAACAAAAATAAATTGAACTCCTTTGTCCAGTACTGAAAGAAGATACTGTTGTGAGACTGTATGTTGACACTCCTGTACAGTATGGCTGTATCAAGGCCAACATGGGCTTTATGAGCGGTCCAGCCATGGAAGCCCGGGCAGATTTATCTTCTTTCTTGGCTGTCTCAATTGACTGTTTAATAATTGCCAGCTCTGCAAAATAAAGTAGTCCATGTGGCGCTCTCCTTTACTCCTGGACTGTTTGGAGGACTCGGACTGGATGAAGTAACTCTGGGCCATGTTGTGTTGCTGAAATGTGATGAAACGGCGGAATGGCATTTGGCAGAATGCTCTAATAGGTGCTTAACTACCCCATGTAATAGATTCACTGGGGACTAGTGGGAAAGCAGGAGGAGAATCCATAGGGTTATGGAGGTTGTAGTTACACTGAATGTAGCACAAATAATGCACGTTGACTAGTTCAAACTATTTCCTATATAGATAAATTAGTTTTAAGGTGACTTTTAAAGGATTCAGTTGAAAGTTTAGACTTACTACAATAACTTTTAAAAATTATTCACTTGATTTTTTTCATGTATGAGCAAAACCAGTTACACAAACACAGAAGCCCCAGAAAGCTATATGTAGTATTTTGATGGAATATTACAAGAATGTACAGTGCAGTCAAGTAAATGAGTATTTTGTCCTGTACAACTGTATTTGCTTATGTCATGCAGCCACAAAAATTACGTAGTCCCTTATGAAGTGTTCAGAAAAATACCATGGAAATAAGGCATGGCAAAGGTCGTAACTGGGATTCAGGGTTCAGAACCATTTTTTTTTGTTTTTAGAGGAATACTTTTATATAAGCAACATTAATTGCAGCACTTTGTGTTATTAAAGTAAATAGACCTTAACAGAGAGGTAAGTAATTGCTGTAATGATTACTTTGCCTTAAAATTTAGTAAAAACTTTCCAGTGGAGAGAAGCTGTGATTTTTAAAAAAATTTTTTTTTTTCTATTACTGCTTGAAAGAGGTTTTTTGTGAAGCAGATGGTACTGACTATCCTCTCCTTTGATCTAGTATTTTAATTCCAATGTTATTTACACTTCTTTACATACATACACACAAAAATGTATTTCATGTTGCTGGACCACTGGTATTTCCTCTTGTGCTATCTATGAAAAGGTGGCCGTGTTTTTCTTGGTTTGTGTGGTGAACTGTCAACACGCTAGACATTCATCTAGAACTTATCCCAGGGAGGTCAGAATTGTTTTTTTATGTTCTTCAGTTTTTCTAAATCTTGTAAACTTCTTGTACCGTCTCCAGTGAAGTTTTGGAGCCAACCATTTATAATCCTAACTTTGCTATCTCTCAATGACCATTAACAAGACTCAATTAAGAATCTCCTGGGAAGTCTTGAATAAATTACATTCATTTAACTCTATGAGCAGACTTCAGCAGGTAAAAAATAAAGCAGTAGAGGAAATTTGAAGATAATTTCCAAGGGTGAGGACTTGGGGTGAAGGGTAGATCTTCATCCAGAATATCCAAATATGATATAAATAAGTTGGCTTTTTGATATAATGACAGCGTTTATCAGGACATTGTACGTTGTGTACCCGAGGGATCAGGTGCTTTACCAGACATAAAAAGATTTGATTGCTAACTGGTTACCAAGATTGGTTTTGAAAGTATCTTAATAGGTTTCTAGAGCAACTGCCTGTATTATTGTACCCTTAGTTTGCCAGGCATGGAATATTAAGCTTTTGATCCACTTTTAAGTCCAGATGATCAATGGCCTGTTCTTTATGGGATTGGAAGTATTCCACAAGTGTGTTTGTGTACCAGTGTTTTACTGCTTTCTAACTTGAAGGCAGTTCTCCTGGACCATGAAGTCCAATTTCAGAAGCAGGCTTAAGTCTTGTGACTCTATCAGACAACTTCCTTCTGTTTAGGAAAATGAAAAAAAACCCCAAGCAAAACAAAACCCAACCAAACTACAAAAACCAACACCAACAAAACCCAAATTAAAAAATGCTCTTTTGCTCTGACAGAAGAGTTACAACCTCTTCAGTTAGTGGTCAGTAGTGAAGAAAGTTATGCACTTGGCACACGCACTAGGTTAACAAATTCTGGGGAGGAACTACTTGCACAAATATAAATGAGTTTTCAACAATTATTATAAAAAATCAGTAGCTGCTAAGTAGAGAATGCCAGAGCAGATGGAGCACATCACCACAGTGCTGAAGAAGAACATGTATTTCTGCACAATGGCTTTCCAGAGTTTCGGTAGATTGGAGATGACAAGTTCACTGGACCACTTCACTGTAAAGTGGGTGGCCCAGCGAAGATGACATCTAGGAATCTGTTGCACCTTACATTGGCTGAAGAAGTTAGATCAGTTCATTCATCAGCACAGGTCCTTAAACTTTCCTGGTTTGTCTACTAGACCCCACTTCAAGTCAGGACAAGCTGTTTGCATAAATTCTGGGTAGTTACAGTTCATTGCCTTATTTTTGGCTAGTAAAGCAACCTGGATAAAAGTTACTTTTCATTGCTGAAGTGCTCAGTGCTTCTGCAGAAATACTTCAATAAGAAGGAAAGAGATTTGTCAGTAAATAAAATTTGGTGGGGATTTTGTTGGACAGCTTTTGTGATTCAAACATCTTCTGTGGTCTGAACTCTTAAAAACTAAATTTAATCTTTAAGCAATTTCTCAACATCTGTAACCTCACCCTCTGAAAAAGAGATGAAGGTGGCATTTGTGAAATGAATGATGGGTATACGTTAGCTTAAGTTTATGAAGGCTAAGGAGGTAATTTGTACTTGGCAGAATACAGAAGAGCTATAGAGGAAAGGACAATCATACTGTAGTGTAAAAACAATCAATTCTATTGTGGGTGGTTTTTTCTACATCTAGTAAACTTACGGTTTTTTGTTCAAGCTCATCTTTTAAAAGTGCTTTATAGGACTTTCTTGAGCATCATGACTAAAAGGCAAGAAGTAAGTAATTCACTGGGAAATATTTATGCTGTGGTAACTGGGTATATTTTCGTCTCGGAATTTAAAAATGCCGGTTTCGTCAAACTCAGCTCTGTTATGTGATCTAATCCTCCAGTACTCTACCACAATTGCTTCCCCCCCATCCCAAACCTTCCAGTGCACACAAGGAAGAGAATTGTGGTAGACCCATAGTTCTTCAGTGAGGGCCTCACATTTAAATACTTCTGAGATTCATCAAAACAGTCCTTAAACCCCTTTTGGAAAAACCTGCTGTTAGATGAAGGTGTCACAGATTTCTTCTCTTTATACACGGTAAATCAGTAGCTGTTAAGGTCACCAGCTTCAATGCCAGCATCATACGTACCCTGTGTTGGCATTGTCGCCCGCCTTGAGTACTGAAATGAGCTCCCCAATTTTGAGGAGCATCTTGAAGCTAAAACATACAGCCATGCCCTCATACCGGTATTGCAGGTGTGAGAGCAAACAGCGATCTTTGTGGTATGAAAAGAGTCTTTGTCTCTCAAGAAGTCCTTAAAGGAAATAGGTCACATTTTGAAAGACCAACCCAAGTGCTACAGAATTTACTTCTGTTAAAGCTAAAGAGAACATTGATTATTTACCTCCCACTGCTGACCTCTCCTTGTCCTACAGACTGTGTTTCCTGCCTTTCTCCTTGGAAACAGGGAGAACAACTTTCCCATTAACACTGCCTCTGTACCAGGAATAGGTATCTGTTCTATCAGGTGGTCCATCTGCTAGGTATTTAGTCAAACTTGGAGAAGTTGTTCTTGACACACGTTTAACTTTAGTGGTTGCTTCAGGCTTGGGTCAAAAAAGCTTATATTTCTGTGTATGATTGTTGCTCTAATAAGATACTATTGCTAACTGTACAAATCTCATTAGAGTACCATGACTGCAAATAAGAACAATAGAACTCCAAGTGGAAAAGATCCTAATTTTGTTTGACTTCAGTTTTGTGCATTAATACAGTTTTGTATATTTGTTGTGTGTGAGTTTGAGGTTTTTTCATTTTTAAGGTCTCTGTGTTCCTATACAGAAGAATACATTTTATTCTGGAACATTAACGATTTTCTTCTCTGCCCCATAACCTTCTGGGAAGACTTTTGAGCTCCTTGCATATTTCTTCCCTTATTTTCTCTCCAGAAGAGAGCAGTTTTCATATTAAATATTACTTCTTTAAAAAAGATGTGATTTCAAAACTTTGTCACTGTGTTCATTTGAGTAGGGCAACTCTTAAAAACTAAGCCCAAGGTAGCGCTTTTCAGCCTTTAACCTTCATGTTTTTGTAATCCCTAAATACAGAATTCACAAGAGGGTAACTGCTGTTAGAAAAATAATCTGTATTTTTTCCCATAGTAGGAAAAATCGAGAAGTACTGTAAATGAATATCCCTTTGCAAGTCTACGCGTATTACACAGTCTACCTCCATGTTAGCTGCAAACAAAGCCAGTTGTACCGTCTACAGGCTCCTGTCTCAGTGTATCAGAGGAACATAGGTGATGGGATTTTTGTGTTGTTTGGGGGAGAGGTCAAGTGAAAGCATCAGGTTCCGTGTTCTCTACTTTTGCAGCAGATCTGTCACTCTGATGCTGTTTCTACAGTGGTGAAAATGTAACTACCTCTTAAAAAAAAAAAAAGTGTATGGATACATTTTAAAACAGTATTTAGTGCCACGTTGCCATTCCATTGCTTTTTGTGTTCTCTGACACCTTGTGGACCAGTGGTGATGCTGCCAGTTATAGCTTTATCTACTGTATGGTTGTAACTGTCAAGCATGACTTTTAAATGGTTTGTTACAATACTTCCTTCTATTGTATGTTAAATAGCATTTCATGTCTTGATTTGAAGCAAAGTTTCCTTACCCACATTTGCATGGAAATAGAGGTGAAATACTTCTCCCCCACCCTGTTATCATGAGAAGTTCATTGATACCAATTGTATGTGTTCAGCTCATCAGAAATAAACTTTTTTTTGCTTATGCATCAGCTGGTGCTTGAAATAATTGCATGGGAATTATGGTTCTGAAATTGGTTGGAGCTGCCAAGCAATACTGAATTTTTGCAGCCTCTCTTAAAAATGTCGGCTTCATGCTAGAGCAAGTTTCCTTGGGTTAGCATATCTGTGGCATTCTGGCTGCCCTGCAAGGCAGAGGTTTGATTAATTACTGGCAGTACTGCTTAATTGCAAGCATCTGTTTAAGCAAGCGGAGTAAAGCATGTGTCACCTATCTTCAGGACTACTTGTAATGAGCTGAAGTTGGGGATGAGAGTGACTACATCTCCAAGTAGGACTGACACTGCTAGAGAAAAAGCTGGATTAACGACACTGGTGAAGTCGGTTTTGTGAATTGAGGGGTTGTCTGCCATCGCCTAGTAGCATTTATAATTTAAGGCTGATTTTAATGGAGTGAGAGGAGATGGGCGAGTACATCTTTCATCATATCTGAATACTTGAGCTGTGGTCTTCACTACCTGGTTACATCAGTCTTGGACAGTTAAATAGATGAGCAGAGAAGGTTAAAATAATGTTCTGTTTATTAAGCATGTTGCACGGTTCTGCTTGTGTCTCTTGTCGCTCAGTATGCCAGCTGTCTGAAGCGTTTTCATGCGTGCTGCTTTTTGCTTCCATCCTGCCTTTGCTCTAGTCCTGCCTGTTTCTTGGCTCATATGTTACCTTACAGTACTGCACTCTCCCGACTTCCCTTTATTTTGTCTTGAGGAGACTGGGATGTTTCTCAGCTTCTCTTTACAGACTTTTGGTCCTGCTCCTGACTGTTTCTTGTACAGATTGATTTGGTGCAGCCTTTGAATTTTCATATTCCTTTCTATTTACTGAACACAAAAATATGTGGTGAGATTAAAGGTCTGTATAGCCTCGTGCTTTATTTTCAAAAGTGGTTATGGAAGGAGTGTATAAGGAAAGGCAAGTACGCAGCTAGCTTTCCCTTGGTATGTACTTCTAGCTTCTTAACGATGACTGAGAGTTTCAATTTAACTTAAATTGTTGGACTTAGCCACTAAGAGACTGGTAGTTGGTGTCTTAGGATCTTGAGTTGTTGTTTAATGTTAAAACAAGAATTCTGTCAGCTGTTTAGTCTGATCCCTAAGGAAGTAAGAGTTAATATGATCACCCTGTCTGTTAGGCAAAGATTTGATATGATGAGTTGAAAAAGCAGTGGCTTCACACATATTTGAAAGAAAGCTGATGGTTTAAAAGATAATAAGTTCTGCAAGCTGCATGAAAAATAGTATATGAACTATGAGAAAAGAAATGAACTTGCCTTGCAGCCTATTTTGTATCATATAATTCAATAGGCAGGACAAATCCATAGGAAACCAAGTTTTTCTCTGTTGTTTTTCAGCATACCATAATAGTTTTTCTTTGTGCATGGGTGTGTGGCTGTTTGTGGTGGTGTCCATTTGTAAGGTTGCGGTGTGTTATTTTGGAGCTTATAACATTGCAGTAGCTTGCTTGTGGGAAGGTTGTAGCAGTAAAGCTCACAGGTTGGCACTGCTTGCCTGTCCAGTTCTCAGTTATGGATTACGTTAGTGGTTAGACACTCCAAATTGGCAAGTTATCTATATTCTGATGTTTCTCTCATACTGCCCTAAGTAAATCTATCTGCTTGTTTAATTTAATGTGTTATAAAGAAGACTCTACTTGCATCATATCCTCATATAAGAGCCTCAGAGCTCTGGAATTATCTTTTTCGTTCCTTGGCCTGAAGGAACCTGAATTCCATTGTTTGGGCTTAATGTAAAAGAAACTTCAGTGTGAAGGCTGAGGATGTTTGAGTCTTTTTTGCTTTCTTTTACTTAATAATGTTGTTTTTTGCTATGGAATTGTAATTTGCAGCACTAGAGGAAACTCAGGACTAGCATAGCTAAGAAACAAAATGAAGAGAGTTGTAAAACCAAGTATTATTTCCTTTGCATTTTTTATTGCTTCTTCTGGTTTTTTTTGTTTGTTTGTTTGAGGTTTTTTTTCTGATTTTTATGTATGAATGTTTTGTGCTTTGTTTGGGGTTTTGTTTTGTTTTTTACTGTCCCACAGCAGTAACACCAGCTGGCCCATTACGATCTTTGCTCCCCTAGTGATCATTGTTCTATGGTTGTTGTCTAAGAGGAGGTGTGTAGGAAAAAGTGCAAGAGTATAGTAACTTTTCTCTGATATACTGTCTACTAAACTTCAGCAACTTGTGGGATAAAAGCAGTGTTTCAGAGGCTGGCTGCATGTTTGGGAACTTACCGTGAGGTGTGATGGATCAGCTTCACAGTACCATAGAAGGATTTTGGTGAGTTGCTGGCTAAACTGCCAGTGGGGTAACAACAGAACAAGCAGCTTTTGCTGAGTACAGGGTTGGAATTCCTAACACCGTGTTTTTTCTTCACACTTTAAGCACTGGCTGATCCATTAATGCAGCAAGTCTATCCTTGACAAAAGAAGATTATACAACTAGTGTCAGCAAACGCACCTCGCGGTGGTTGGAAATATGAAAACTGTGTTTTATATTTCTGTTTTAGGCAAATAGAATAGCTAATGCTTTAGTGACTCTTGAACCTTCAAATAAGAATACAAGATACAAAAATGATAAAAAGATATCTGGAGACAACCTGCTTCAACAAAACCATGAAGTAGTATATTTGAAGATGCTTCTCTTGTAGTGCTTTTTGACACTGAAAAAAGAGTTGTATATACTACTTATTATTCTGTAAGTGGGCCTCTATCCTTGTGATAGACATGCATGGAGAGGATATTGCAAATTGATTTCTGATTCTTGCTCATGCTTATTTTATGTCTGACTATGTGTGAGAGGCTGTGCACTGAGCCAGGAAGAAGATGCCTGAGATCTGATTTATCTAGTATGAGGAACAGGCAAACAGGTGACAGCTCAGAAAAATAAGCGTGCTTTAGCTTTTGATGATGCTGATTCCTCAGAAAAGATAACATAATCCATGTATGTAATATCTTTGGTGTACCTTCCGTGGAGCTGAGCTGTCATAGAAGACAAAAGCTCTGAAGACAGTGGCAGTTTGACCCACAGGATGTATTTTGGAAGCACTTGCATAGGGATTTTTTGAGTCAGGGGTGGCTGTAGATTTTGTGATTTTTGTGGTAGGAGGAAATGGTCTATAGACAGACACAGCTGCTTTGTTGCAGAAAACTATGCACAATATGTACAATCATGTTTTAAATTATCTGTGATGTATGTATATTGGTCTATTAAAGGTTGAACAAGTACTAAGTGCCAAAATTGTGAAAATGGATTTCATCACAGGAATTAATGAAAATATTTCAATAAAACTGCAATAATTCAGCTGAATATTTAAGTTTGCAGTGTAATAGAGTAAAGTAGTTATGTACTTGTACCAAAAGTTTTGTCCAGAGGACTACTGATGGGGGAAGGGGGGCGGGGAGGGGGTGGAAATCTGTCAAAGAGGAAATAGAGGCTAGTTTGCCTGGTTTTTGTTTTTCTTCCTCTTCAGCTCTAATCAAATACATCCGGCCAGTGTTTGTATCTCGGTCAGACCAGGATTCTCGCAGGAAAACTGTTGAAGAGATAAAGCGGCGTGCTCAGTCTGATGGTAAATGGCCACAGGTACTGTATGTTACTGCTCTCTGCCAAATGGTATTTGGCATTTCCAGGCTTTGGATATAGAGTTTACTATTTTCCTCATGGGACGCTGTAGATGATTTGTAAGGGGTGGGATTTCACCCTCTCTGTTTCTAGAAGATACAGTGTAAGATTCTTATCTGTATAATACACTAGCTTTTCATTGCAGTGTGTTTCAAGGGGAGGCTGGGTAAGTACATGGGAAGACAGCTCTATTAAGTGATACTAAATGGACAGGCCACAGCAAGTTTAGAAAGTCCTCTAAGAAGAAAATAATCAGGTGCTTAGCAGAATACCTGGTGGAATATTGTGTGTTCTTGCCCTTCTCAGGATTTTGGCAAACTGTCAGTGTTGGAGATACAATAATGGCCAAGACAGCCCAAGCAGTTCAGATGTTCCACTAACTGTAGTACAGCTCTGTTGGATATTGCTAAACTAAGTGGCTCAAGGTTTTTTCTGCACCTGAAATGTGACTATTTATAATGTGCCTTGGAAGAGAGTAATGGGAAGGAAGACATGAACTACCTAAGGTCTCAATTTTCTTGAAGTGTGTGATTATTTTGAAAATTTGAAGCATTCTTCTTGTGAATTTTTGAGATTGATATAGTATGTCTTTCATGGCATTGTTACTACTACAGTGGTTGCGTTCACATACTGGACTACGGAGACATAATAAGCAGTTATAAACAATGTGACAGAAAGGTGATACGTGGCTTTCACATCATGACTGTCATCAATAGATTTCAAAGCACTTTAAATATTCTTACTTGGTGAAACTGAGTTGCAGAGCTGAAGTGATTTCCAGAATATCTATCAAGCTGATCCCAGAATTAGAAATAAAACTAGTAATGTCAATTCTAGTCCATTGTTTTGTCCCTTTATGATATGTATTTATTTTCTTTAAATATCTTGTTCTGTAACTCAACAAAATTTCAGCATTTCTTGGCTTTTTGCTGTCTGAAACTTTTTTTTTTTTTTTTTACAGTCTAACCTCTTCCTCTGAATTCAGTTCAACTTGAGCATTTTCTGCCTTGTTGGAATTCTGTTTAGATATTTTCAGTCTCTATCATTCTGACATCTGTGCATATGCCAAGTAATAAATGCAAAAAGAAAATAACAGCCTTCCTTTTCTTAGCCTGTAAGCAGGTAGCTTGGGAGCAGGAATTTTGTTTTGGTGCAAGACAGAGTATGGTATTTTTACCAGCACTAAAACCTTTTGTGAAAATTCTCTTGTACTCATGAGTGTTTCTGGTCACTGCCAGTATTCCAATTGAATAGATTATTATTGTAGGTCAAGAAAGAGGCAAATTCACAGATAGAGTAAAAACAAAAATAATGCTCAATAAAGAAGTCAAGTAAAGTTCTGGTAAAAATATTTTTCTTTAACTGAACTGTTTTTCTCTGAAAACTTTTTTTACTGTAATAGTTAATGTTAGCTTTGAAAAGATGTGTTTATAAATAAATCCGTATTGAAATAGTTCTTAAAAGTCAACTTTTTTTTTTTTTTTTTGCTTCAAGATAATGATATTCCCAGAGGGCACTTGCACAAACCGATCCTGTCTAATTACATTCAAGCCTGGTAGGTATGATGCTTATTTCTCCACTCTCTACAGAATGTTCTTGTAGCTTCATTTTCTGAAATACCACTTGCATTATAATTTGCTTGGTGTTGCAGAAATCGAGTTAAAAAATCTTGCATTAGGGTGGAATTGAAATAGCAATTTTCTGATGCTAGAAAAGGATTATAGTTCCACTGTTGAGCAAAACATTTTAGCTAATTCAGATTTTTTTTCTTGGCTTCTGAGATGCATATGAGCTGGAAGACTAATGTTTCTTATGGGTTTTTTGTTTGTGGCTGTCTCTTTTTCTTGCCTCCTCCATTTACTACTTGGGGTGTGTTATGCAGCATTTAGACACATTTAAGGTATCGGTCTGTATCTATTTCACTGTGCTGCAGCAGTTGTTGCTGTGCTTTATGTGGTTGATTCCTCTTCACCTCTTCTGTTGAGTTGTGTTCTGGTGAAGATGGCACAAGAATCTTGCCAGTGTGGCACTGTTACAGAGGCTGTAATTTTTTACAGTATTTTTTTTATTTAACATTCACGTTCTAAGCTCTTTCTAGTTAGAATCACCTGTTAGCTTATCAGATTAGCAGAGGGTGTAACACTGAACATTGTTGCAGCTGTAAACTGCAGTTACAGTGGGGAGAAATGCCAGCGCTGCAGTGAACCACCAATGTGTAATGTGAACTTGCCTTTATGATGTAGGTAGGGAGATGGGGAATGAGGAGGCTGCAGTGAGCAAGACAGTTGTGAATGTGTTTTTTGACTCTTCTGGGTTTCTGCCTAGCTCATTCTCTTCTTGTCTTACTATGTGATTTATATTTTGTGTTGCTTACAACTTACCTATCACAATTAGAATATCATGCAGCAAGTCAGCATTATGATTCCTTACACTGAATCATTTGGCTGAAGGAAACTCAGTATTGTCTCCTGAACAAACATTCAAAAAGCTTTTCTTCCTTACCTCTTCAGATTCGTGAGTGGTGCTTAGGAAAACATCTACTTCTTTTGCTTTTTACTTTCCCTCTCTCTCTCTCTCTCTCTCTCTCCACCTCAATCCTGGCCATACTTTGAAAACCAGCCTGAACCCATCGTTAAAGCCCTGATTTCCTGCTCTTCCTCTGTGCCATAGACATTCCAGGCACCATATAATTTCTGCCTCAAATCCCCGCTCTCTCTTCCTCTCCTCTGATCTAGTACATGCTGCTTTCTGCTGCTTGACTGTCTCACTTTTCCTACTGGAACCTGCTTCTGTATCCAAACCTGCCAGAAATCCTTTGCCTCAAAATTTCACACTTAGATGTTGCATCTTTAAATAACTGCTTTCAGGATGCCTTTCCCTGTTTTACTGATGTGACCTACACTGCTTGCTCTTACTTCACAATTTTTTTTGGTTTTGTGTTTGGGCAAGCTTAGTCCAGTTTTGTTTAAATGGTGGTGTTGTCATATGCCACTCAAATTTTGTCATCTTTCAAAAGTTGCTTAGGCTGTTTTTCTCAGAGACTGAATAGAAAGTACCAGTGGGCCAAGAAACAAATCTGCAGGGTCCCATTCAGACAACCTTCATTTAAAGATGTTTATACTCCATTAACAGTTACTTCTTTTATATCTGGGCAGTTATTCTGTAAAGCAAATGTAATGCTAAGAATAGAGTATACTTCCATCATTCAGTTCTTAATTTTAATCAAAATATTAGGCAGAACTTAGGGAATTGCTATAGATAACATAGTTTGAGTTAAGCTGTCTTTAATAATTGTTTTCATGAGAAAAAGATGTTTAGAGAAATCTTGAGCAAGATAGTTAGCATGCTTACCCAATCTTTGTGCTAAAACCAAGAAAACGATTAGCAAATAACATTTCTAGATCTTGTGCTACTTATCAGAACTGTAATTTTCATATGAAGTGATGCTTCTGTACAATAGTTCTAGTTCAATACTTTATAACTATTAGATTTTCCATAGCTACAGAATAGAAGTTATGTTAATTCTGTTATTTCAGAGATTATAAATTTCCTATAAATTGATGTTTCTTAGCTAAAACTAAAGCTTCTCTTGCCTAAGAAAGCTTAGGTTCTTCACTGTTAACCGCAGGCAATATATTGACTTAACTATTATACACCTACTTATATTCTTTTAGTCATTTATCAAGCTGAATTTGGTACTGTTTTTTGGCTTATATACATGACAATTTATTTAACTGCTAGAGGATAATTTAATAATATAAGCAAGTGTTCGTAATTATTTTTCTGCTGAAAAGGTGGGTATGCATTGTCATTCTCCAGTGCTTGCTTTTTAGATTACTTTTGAGGTTACTTTTGAGGTTACTTTCGGATCTTTTTTCACTATTAACTAATTCCTATGCATATCAACCCATTGATTGCGTAGTTTTTTTTCTTTGCTGCAATAAATTTCTTCTGTACCAAAATGCACTGTAACGTGATTACATTGTATGTGCCTTCTAGGAGCATTTATTCCTGGAGTTCCTGTACAGCCAGTGGTTTTACGTTATCCAAACAAACTGGTAAGTTCAACTCTGAAGTTGTAGTTGGAAATATGGGGCATTTTCCTCTAAATACATTGGCACTCAGGTTTAGTAATTTGCAAAGCATTAGTAAATGCTTCTTGGCTAAGTTTGTATTCCTTAAGCCTCTAGCTATATAAATAGTCTAAACTGAGACAGTTTATATGTTTCTGCTTTTATGAGTTTACTCCTAAAACAGTCCTCTGAAAGTTATTCAGTTGTTACAAGAAGTACTGTACAAATGTCAATTTCTGTTTAGGATCTGTGTTTCCATGTACTTCCTGTTAGTACAGTGTGTGCTGGAGAGTTTCCTTAATATTGTTTATTGCTGGAAGGCGCTTCTGCACCTCCTGCCTGTGAGGATGTTGGGCACAAATTAACGCAAATAGCTAAATGATAATAGAATAATGTGTTGAGGACCCCCAGCACCTCTATAAGGTATCTTGTTGTCAGTGTTTTACATTTGCTGTGCACTTGACTAAGGAATGCTAGACACTAGCTAATTTGGAGTAGGCCTTCAAGATAAATCAGATTCAGGTAAAATGCAAATTATAGTTTTTATTTACAATGTCTAAATTAAACAATTTTTACCAGTGCTTGGAAAGATATACACAAACAAATTAAGACAAAGCTCACTTCATCTACTTCAAGATAAAGCTTACAGGAAAGCAGAGGGATTTATTTTTTTATTATTATTATTCAGTTTAACTGATGTAGATACTTTCCTGTCCTACTGCAGCTAGAATCCTGTCTGTCTGCATTCCTTGGTTAATTAGAAGATGCTTCCTACTGAACTTTGCTAGCTTTTATACTTGAAGTTTCTTTTTGAGACCTCTGGGGCTGTTTCCAGGTCTGCTCTGTCCCCTTCTAAAGTGGAAGTTACTTAGGGGAGGGTGGGAGGAGTGTCAGAAGTAAAATAAGGACTACCTTGCCTCTAGGCTGATGCATGTCATGTCAGAAGATCTCATGTCATCTCTGACTAGCCCGTTAACAAGCCCTCGACCTAAGGAAGGATTTTGTTTCCTCTTGGTACCTGAGTGCTTATCTTTTATAAGTGCTTCCATCCATTGTTCTTCTGTCAATTAGCAGGTTGATAGAAAGTTAATCTACACAGACCACCATTTACTCTTGACTGAAACAAGGTGTGATGGCAGTCAAGTAGTTTGCAGTAACCATCTAAAAAATCGTCTTTGCTAATGCTGTGACAAGTATAGCAGCCTGTTATGTTTGCATAGTATTAAGTGCATTGTAGCAGCTTGCCTGTGAATTTTCATTACATAATTGTTTTATTTTCAGGAAGAAAAATCCTTTTCTAAAAATATTTATTACTGCAAAATGCTGTAAAAGACTGTAAATATTTATATAGATATCCATCGGAGTTGACCTGAATCTGTGTATGACACTTTTTCCTACTACTTTTGATTGCTGTAAAACACTCAGTTTTCAGTGCCTTACTGAATCATTTAGCTGCCTAAGGTCTACTTCCACTGAGCATTAATGAAGGGGGGATAATTGTTACTACCATTTGATTTTTAGATTAGCTTGGGCTGCAGAAGATTGTGGCAAAGTTAGGATGAGGAGAGGAAGGAGTATGAATGTGATATGTGAAGGTGAGGTTTGTTATGATTAGAATGCAGTTAAGAGTTAGATACCAAGTAAGAACAACACAGTAGGGAGAGAGCATTGTTTTTCATACACTAAGACGGCATATCTAGCAAACTTTGACTGTCTCTGGCTTCCTATTTGGTGTCTTGTTTGACCACTGCATATTATAAATTTAAGTTTAGAAAGGTTAGCCAGTGAATTCCATATATGCATTGTGTGTAGTCACCCCACTGCTTGTAGCTTGAACTACCTGCTCTGATCTACCTTCAGAGCTCCGAGTTCCACAGTACAGTTGAGAACAGTCTTGGACTTGAGTGGATCTGACTCTTGGGAGGCTTTTTGAGATCAGAGCCTGTGGTGAAGGTCATGGCACATGTGATCATATAAACTCTCTAAAAATGATTTTGGATAGTAGCATAGAACTGAACTGGAACATTTTTAGTAAGTTGATAGAAATATCTTTCTGATCTCTCAGAAACCTGAATTTTACAAGTCCTCTTGTCTTTCCATTAATGACTTCCCCTTTTTTTGTCCCAGTTGGTCAGAACAGTAGCTTGGAACTAATTTTCAGGTTTTTGGATTCTTACTTCTATGTTTAAATCTTGTCTCCAAGTACTGCAGGTTTTTCCTTTGCTGTTTCTTAGTCTTACACTTAAAAATGTGTTGACCTTTATTGTCGTATTCTTTCTTGTCACCTGTTATAGACTCCTTTCCAGGTTTCTGTTCCCCTTTTGCTATTTGCATCTTGTTCACTTCTTTCAGTGCTATTTGTCCTCTCTTAGTGTTTCGCACACTGTTCATCTCAGCTATCTAAAAGTGCTGCTGGTCTTGCCTAAGAGTAAATTTGTGGAGTTTGATGTCTTATAATGTACCTTTTGACCCTTGGATCAGGCAGGTGAATGTATGCTTTCTGTGAGTAAAGGCAACTGGAAAAATACTGTTTGAGATAAGACATAAGGTCTTACTTGTCCTACTGCTTTATGTCAGTTGAGCAGACTTCCTTTCAGTCATCTCCTCAAGTTCCAAACACTTCACAAGTGTTACAGAGTGTTCAAGTCTATTGTTGGGAAGTCCAGGTAAAGTGTAGGGACGCTTGAGTGACACCCTGTTGAGTAGGGTGGGTTAGCAAAATACACATAGACTGTGTGTATCAAGGAATATCAGCTTACAGTAAATACATTTCTTTTCCAGGGCTAACAGCATTTGCAGAATCCCTGGATCTTTAAATGTTTTATGAATATAGATATTCTGTGTTTAAGAGATGGATTACTGGGTATTTCCTAGCTGCATAAAAGATAGGCTGGTTTCTTTTGGGGCTAAGAACTTTTGCAAAGAGGGCATTGAGGTATTCTTGGAAACCTTTTAGTCGTATGTCATCAGTGGTGCTATCTATAGTGTAACAAAAGTTTAAAATACAATAATTAATTGCAATTATAATGCTTCTTTCTTAGGATACAATCACCTGGACATGGCGAGGGCCAGGAGCGTAAGTGGTTTATATTTTGTTGCTTGTATCATGATTGCTTTCCTTCATTAATTTTTATTTATATGACTTACAGGGATGTATAGTCAAGTAGTAATTGCTGGTTATTGTATTATTCTTTGGGATTAATTTCTGTCTTTTATCTGTTATTTCCTAATTATGATAATCCAGGTATAAACAGTACACTTCTGCTGCTATGAGTTTGGTGGTTTGCAGAATGGATTTTAAGATTTTATTCCACATTTTTATTTGGTTTTTTAACCATTACATAAATTAAAATAACTTGCTTCTGTTTTATGTATTTTATTGTCTGCAAATTGATTTGGTGTGTTTCTGTATAAAATATGTGCAGGTACTGTTTGAAGTTGGTCTAGTCCCCCAGAAACAGTCAGCCCACTCAGGGAATTGGAGATAATATTTCCATTATCTTGCCTGAATGTAACTTCAATTTTTTTTAAAAAACAAAATGTTGTTCTAAAGGTTCCTTAGCAAATTCATGTAATGTAAAATACTAATTGAAGCAGTTCTTACTTCTTTAAATTTTTTTTAGCCTTATTTTTAGCCTTTAGTTGTTCTAAAATGTTTAGATGAAGATCAAAACAAGAAGTTTTTGAACCCTAAGTAAAGGGGAGTTTGATTCTATGGTTAGTGGCTTGCCATTTGCCTCTTCCTTGGGAACGGTTGTTTTGAATGTCCCACCTGAGATCCTATATTTTAGTAGTAACAAGGAAACCATTTGGATTAGCCAAGATAAAGTAATTTAGAATTTTGTCAATTAATTTTGCACCTTCAAATGTACTGGGAACCAGGTCTAATAAAGGAGATGTCTAGATCTGGAGACTTGAGGAAATAATTGATCACTTTTAAAGGCTCAGCTTTCAATTCAGTCATCATGTTAGAAGTAGATGAATGCGTGGTAGTGTCTAAAGTAGGTAGTGCAGCATTTACTGCGTGCAGGGATTTCTGTTCTCTCTTTGTGAGCTCCTGCATCTTCCTTTGCATTTACACTGCAGTTCATCTAGCAAATTAATTCAGCCAGAGGGGAGAAAGATGAGTAGCTTATTTCCAGCTTAGTGTCATACCTTTGGGGTCAAGAACACTTAGAAGAAGAGGGAAGGAACTTGTGTGTGTGTTGCATCAGATCACTTTAATGTGTGCAAACCCCTTATTCAGAAATGCTGACCTCTGCCAATAAAGTTAAATTAAATTAAAGCTGAATCGGAATCTGAGGCAGCATGTGATGTTACACAAATTCACTGGGTCAGTTTAAATTACAGCTTTACTTAATTAGGATTAATTCTCCTGAGTGACCTAAAATGTATTTCTGATGTCTTAGCAGAAAATACTGTTAAGGCTGATACTGTCTTCACTTTCTCAGCAAATGTCTCTCTTCTGTCATAGTGTTAGCCAAAACTTACTGTGGAAATGTGGCTGTATCCAGGAGTATTCTGTTTGTTCGAAGTTGATGTAGCCTGTAAAATTGGTTGAAAATCTGTCATATAGAAATTTACATGTTTCTTCCATGTATGGAAAGTAAAGTTTTTACTAGTTCGATAGTATTCAGAGCAGTTAACTGACTATGTTGGAAACGAAGACTAGATGTAGCGTACAAGTTAAATTTTCTCTATGTCAGACTTGAGTTAGATAGAGATTCTATCAGTTTTTTAAATTGGTATTTATAGTTTAAGATTTAATCTTTGAAGATTACAGAGAGCTGGCAGAGAGAGAAGTTTACTTGTAACTTTATTGGGGTTTTTTAATGCTCTTGGATAAAGACCTAGAAACCAGACTTCAGTATTTCCTGTCAGTGACGTAAACATCAAATCATAAGTTCCACTATTACTCTTGCTCCTTTTCTTTGCTTTTAATCTATTGGAAGTTCAGTTACAAAGAAGGGAAATTAATCACATTGCAGCCCAGATGGAGTGTATAGCAAAAAGAATAGGGTGTTGCTTCTAGGAACTGCACTTTATCTAGCAGAGAGGATTTTGACCGTCCCTCCCCTCACAATGATTGACCACTGTAACTACCTAGATACTGTATAAAATGTGGCTACTAATGCTGCTCCCTACACTAGGTTTGCTAAATCCTTTGCTAGATTTGAATACTCTTTCTAACTTCAAGTTGATTCCGTTTATCTTGTATCTTAGGCTACTAAAACACATGTACTGCATTTCATTAACAGACTTATGAAGTTTAATGAACTTTGATTCTAAACCAAGGTAATGGTAAAATCTTAGTGGTTATAATTAATCCTGCCAACTCTATGCTCAATACATCATTTTCCTGAAACAGACGTTCTCTTTCTTTACACTATGCGTACATAGTATCTTACTGTATGTGTTAGTACCTGTATATTATATTACTGTTTGTCTTCTTGCTTTTGGGTATCTTTTCAGATGCAACTTCAGTGTAAATTGCTTTTGTTCTACCTTATATAATGTAATGTATAGAAGTACTCTCAAAGACCTTTTCTATTAATTTTTTATCTGAATGTGATCATACCTACAAGAAGGAATGTTACATGAAGACTTTGGACCATAATGTACTATTGTTTCACTATGTGTAATTTTTTTTCCTACCTACTTTTCCTTTTTTTTTTTTTTCCCCCCTTTTAGGTTAGAAATTCTGTGGCTTACTTTGTGTCAGCTTCACAATTCGGTGGAAATAGAGGTCAGTAAAAAAAGTCCAGTGTGTTCTGAGCAGTATCAGAATAAATCATATTGTGCTTAATTCTGCAGTAAAAGTTTGTATTCAAACTTTGTATGTATGTCTGTAGAAATAGGTTAAAATACTACGCATATTTTAGACAACTACCTTCTGTATCTGAAAATGTAGCCTAAAAATCGAATAGCAAAATATAGTTTTCCACTTGGCTTAAGACTTTATTATTGATTTAAATTGAGTAGACAGATTTCTGACTCTGTTTAAAGAGTCTTTTGTGAACAAATTTCTTGCCTTTTAAAGGCCTGATTGCTATTCCAGCTAGTATACCAGCTGTGTATTTTAGATATCCAAGTGTGTGAATGCTGATGTACAAACTAAGGACTATATTCTAGAGAAAAATCATTGTGGGTGGTTTCTTATAGGCCAGATAAGTCATTTTATATGTCTGGCTATTTTTTTTTTTTTTATTAGGCTACACTGTTCAGAATGTGAAATCAGGGAAAAAAACAAGGAAAATCTAGGTATATTCTTAACTTTGTCTTGAGGAAAATGCTACGTGAGCCTAAGGCTGAAGACTATTATAGTGCAAATGCAAAAATAATTTAAACCTTTCCTTTTAAATTGCTGTCCTTTTGCATTTTACAGAGATCAATTACATCTTTGTAGAGAAGTACAGCATTTTAATGGTGTTATATAGGATATTTGACAGATATTCTGCAGCTCTTTTGCTCACATTTTTTAATAATGAAGCAACTCTTTATCTGTGACTGATGGAACTGGTGGCAGGGTAAATTAGTAGGAAGAACTATTACGTATTTACATACACATATGTTACTATTGTAACATAACATATGCCAATCACAGTATTTATCATTGCTATGCTCTGTGTTTACTTATTTATGCTAGAAATTCTTCTAAAAAATAATGAATACACAAAATACCAGCCACTGAACGGTTGTATCTGTTGTAGAAATGTCTAGTTTGTGTTAACACTTTAGTTACATGTTTTCAGCTATTAATAGTATATATAAAAATAAAATTTTTTTTTAAAAAAAACCCTTATTTCCAAAATAGTGATCTGTTTTTGGTAAAAGGGCCAGGGAGCGACTGCCTCACTCAGATGAGACAAACCAGCTAATTGGCAGGATTTTTAGTCTATCTCAGGAACATGGTTTTCTGCCCTAGGCAAGTAAAGTGGGTTCTTTCACACAAAGTGAACACTGAGCTTTCTTGATTTTTCTGAGGCAGCAGCTGCTAGCAGACGCTGAGTTTCTGTAACTCCTGCAGATGTTGCATAAGAACAAGTTACAATCCTTGGTTATCTCTCATAATAAAAAAAAAAACAAAAAACCACCAGCTAGTGACTTTCTGAACTACTGTATACTAAAGCAGGAGCTGGCGGAGCTAGAAAAGCAGAGCTGTTTGCAAGACTGCTCACAAGTATGAGGCAGAGTACTTGAGAGCTACTTGTTGAATCTGTTTTTGTAAGGAAATGCGTCACATTTAGGAACGTAGAGGAAAAATGAGTTGTTCTGTGTTCAAAGACATGTTTTTCCCCTGGTTTCCAAGTTTGTTGGCTTTTATTCCTGCTTTGCTTCATCATAACACGGATACTGGCAAATACCAACCAGCCTTGATACCAGAATTACTGCTGAAGATCCGGTAACTCAGAGAGATTACAGCAAAACAACACAACTTCACTATGTTTTTTATTAAATGATAGCTAGTAGGTCTAACAGCCAGCAATCAGGATCTGAAATTTGTTAGTCTGGGCTTCTCTGCATACAATGTGTGTTCTGGCATACCATCCATGTCATCCAGCATGTATGTTGAGAAGCAAGCATCTATGTAGATTTTATAATAGGTTACTAGAAATATTGGCCCATTGATCCATCCATCCTGTACTTGGAACTGGCATGCAAGCAGTCTCGTGAGGGAGAAAGGATATACGATCACCTGCACATGTAGCTTGTTTTGGCTAACGCCTGTTTTGCTGGCCTGTCAACTTCAGTGTTCATACATCCATCACAGTCGGCAGCAGCTGAGTGTTCTTCTCTTAGTTTTGTTAGTGGTGCTGAAATGATGGTGCAATTTCTGCCCAGTTAGGCATAGACATGTAGAGCACCTTTGAAATCACCTCATATTCAAACTTGTCCTGTGTTTGGATGAATGACTTGATAGCATTTTGCAACTCGAAGAAATAGAATGGAGCTTGGAAGGTGAAGGAACAATCTTTCCATCTCTGTTAGCTTCACAGTCTTTGTCCTTCTGTATATTACATGAAGACAGGAGTCAGGTTTTCAGCTGCAGTGGTGCAAAACTGTAGCAAAACCCAGAATAAATTAAAGATTTGTCAATTGCTGAATACTTCTAAGAAACAGTTAGACAGACATCCAATGGCACCGTTTTGGGCACTGCTGATCATACCATTATGTGATTCTGAAAATACAGCTAACTTCATAGTTATTGAGAAGTATTTGCTTAGGTGGCAAACTTTGTATTTATTCCCCAGTTGTTATTTTCTTTTTTTAAAGACCAGTGTGAAATTTCTGGATCATAATTCCCATTTTGTACTATTTTGTGGTAATTATATGAAATACAAATAAGCTTATTAAAACTTCGGTTTCTACTTCAGAAGCTATTCACGGGATTATGAACGTTTGCTTACTTAATGCATAAATTATCTTACTGTGTTGCACTACTAAGGGAATTGTCTGTCTGGTACTGAGCAGAGGTGGGAATTGAAGTGACTCCTTCTTATTCCTTCTCTCTGAGAAGTTAGTTACTTGACAGAAATGGGATGTTTTGAGGGTTTTTGTGGATGAGTCTGGCCATGATTTTGGGGCTTGTATCATATTTCAATGAACACTTGAAAACAGCCAAAAACTGGAAGGTCTTTTAATATAGACCATCCTGTTATGAAACCTGCCTTTTCTGTTGCAGGTCTCCAGTAGTTCTGGTTTAATTTTCCCCTTCCAGCCTCAACTGTTATGTGATTCTGTGGCCATCTGCTTTTATTTAGAATTTTTCTTTCAATCGGGTATTAATAACTAGTGTCCAATTTGAAGGAGGATTTTTTCAAAACCTCCAACAACAAGATAAAAACACTTCTGATGTGTACATTAAGCAGTCATACATGATTTCAAAATGTGCAGGGGGAACAGTAAATAACCTGATGTCCTGAGAATTTGAATTCTTAATATTTAAGCTATAGAACAGTGTTCATGTAGCAGGTGCTTTTCTTGGTTATCTGGAAAGAGCTGAACAATACAGGATGTAAGAGAAAAGTTTGTGCAAGAAAATGCTAATACTTTTAAATTATTTAAAAATTCCTGGTCCCACTTATGAAAGGAAGACAAAACTCTGCTTGGGTTCCATGAGGTAAGAAAGGAGCAGAATCACTGTTGTAAGAACTATGATGCATCCTTAAGCATTTTAGATTTCCATTTTTATTTTTATAGTCCTTTTGTTAATATAATTTTGAAAGTAGCAACAAACTGTATAAATTTTCCACCATAGTGCTATAATAGAGATTGTTTAAAATGTTAAATATTCTTGGTATAATTCAGTTTTCTGTATGCAGTTTCTACCCGTGTATATTCCTTCAGAAGAAGAAAGAAAAAATCCAGTGTTATATGCCAATAACGTCAGACATGTAATGGCAGAGTAAGTATGTTGTAATATGGAATAAAAATAGATGTGTGATTTTAATTTTAGGATCAAGAAAATGTCATTAAATTGAGTCAGTGTAGTTGCCTGCTTGCAAAGAAGCTTACAGTCTACAGTAGTGTGTGCAAAACTTTATATAGCAGTTGACTTTCTGAGGCGGGCAGGGAGCTGCAAATACAGCAGGAACTGTAGGAGTTGGGTTTTTTTAATGTCTTCATATAACAAGCTGGTTCCGTTTGCTGTGGGGATTTAGTCTTCTGGAGAAAAAATTATAGTTGAATTTTATGAAAGTTAATGTAACTGAATTTTGTGGTATTGAGGATGCATTTTAAGCTATAACTTTTTTTATGAGGTTAAGAATAGTTTTGTGTATTCATTGTTAGCCTGTGTTTATTTCAAATAGTAAAGCACAGGAGAGCTGCTTCTGTTGGAAATAAAGCACTGATACAATGCAAAGTAAATGAAGTTGAATGTTAATGTGACAGCATCTACAACACTTGTCTGTAGTGTCTAATAAAGCCAACATTGAATATGCAGACCTTCATTTTCTTTTGTTGTATTTTTGATTAACTACTTCTGTTCATTCATTTTTTTTGTCCTTTCAGCAAATCTTCCATTAGTCAGTAGGTGCTCTTTTCAGTATTTATAGAGAACCCTCAGGTCTATGGTAACTAATAACTCTTGAAGGATTTATGAATCTTTCTAAACCTAATTTTGAAAGAACTTGTGAAATCTTAATTTCCTTTGTGTAACTCTCTCTTCCGTTTCTTAAGTTACCAGTTTCAACCAAAGGCCAGTTTGTAGATAGAAACTGGTAATTCTTCTCTTGTTTATAAGCAGAACCCAGCTTTATGAGTTTCCTTAAGGATGTTGGGCCTGTAATAGAAAATTAAATCAATATTCAATCAATGGTGTGAAAGGATATTTCTCACAAAAGAAAAAACAAAAGAATCTGTGTGTATCAACCTGTCTAAGAGTTGCAGTGGCTTCAAAGACTTTTGTAGTTAATTTCGGACAGTCAGCTAACGCTACATAAAAGTGCTGTCCTTGGACTTGGGGTAGAAGGCCATGTTGTTAAACCTTCATTCTGAACTCTACTCCAATCAGCTGACAGGGTATATGGTATGCGGTATACAGAGAAATTTTGAAAGGCTACAGACATTTACAACAACTGGCATGTTAAGAGCCTTTTCTTCTGTGTGTGCGTAGGAGGAGAGACATCTTTTTCCTCATCCTTTTGTTTCTCCCTCCCACCTCTGAAGAATTAAGCATTTGGGGTAACGGAAGAGGGATGCAGGTCTAAAGGAAAGACTGTCAGAATGGGAGATAGGAAATATGGCTTGCTTTGAGGTGTAGAAGGGGCTATAGATGGTGTATTGATGTGCAAGGAAAATAAATATGTTTGAATATCAAAGTTCCAAAGTTAAAATGCAGATGGCAATAAAACGGGATGGCTGACACCTGGATACCATGGATTACTGTAGACCAGTTAAAATAGGATCAACATAGTCAAAACTTACTTCTGACCATGTCCAGATGCTTACTTCTAGTGGCAGTTCTCCATACTCTCCTAGTTCATTCATGTGGCTTTTGGTACTGGAGATATCAGCTCAGATGCTCTCAAGTCTGTTCTGGAGCTGTAGCACTTGCAACTCTATCACCTCAGGTGGTATTTTGTGCTAGCATTGCACTCTGCATTGCTGAATAAAGGACAGTATTACTGCTTCATCTAGATTTGTCTCCTTTCCTTGAAGTTGAGTTGGTGGCAGTGTACCTTTTTGATATCAAGAGGTCACTTCAGGACTTGTTTAGATGTCTGCTTTCCCTGTCCTTCTCATCATATTTTTCTGGAAGAGTATAATTCTACTGGATATTTTACAGCAGCAGAGGTAGCAGTCCCAGATAATAATGTATTTGTGAGTCTAGAACCAGTGTTGTGGTAAAGCTTTGTATCTTGCCCCTGATTTCAAGGGGAGTTGGTAGAACTTGTTGAGTGCAACAATAAATAAGATTCCCACTGTGGAAATCTGTTTACCTTCATCATAATCTTGTCTTGTGAACAGCTTCTCTTAAGTGTTGAACAAAGAACTAGACAATATGTCTGATTCTTGTGCTGGTTCTGTGTGTTGATTTTATGGGCAATTTTTGGTTTAACCTTATTTAACTTCTCTGTGAGCAGCCACGGATGTGAGTGATTGGGGTCTGTAGATAGTTCCTGTTCACTTATATATAAATTTGACAAAGAAGATGCTGGCATTCAGAGGTTTGCTTCCTTAGGACATGAGTTCCTTGCAGCACGGATGAATTTACTTGCCCAAAAGGTGAAATCCAAAGTGAGCCTTACCTTTTGGCTCTCTGTTTCAGGCCAGAAACTTCAAGACTAACTGTTCTGTGCTTCAGGTTCCCTCAGGCAGCCATACCAATAACAAAGGAATTGCCATTTTTTAACTGCTGTAGTGCTCTACAGGTCTTCACTGTGTTCCTTCTCAACTGGGATGGCAAGCGTTGTATACTTTTGAAGATACATTTTAGTATTAACCCACCATTTGTATCATTCATCTTTACTGCTGCCATATACTAGTGTATGAACACGCTGGTTTGTTTTTCCTGGATCCATACTGGGATCATCTCATTGATGTGAATGTTGGGACCAGAAGACATTCAGTCTGGATTACTATCTGCAAGCACCCTTTCCTGCTGCTTTTCAAGACCTCATTTCACAGACTTTTTTTTCTAAACTAAACCTAGTTTGTTTTAATTAATTCAATGATGTTTCAGTATTTGTGCAGTGATCTGTCACCAAGTTCCACAAGAATCCAGGTGGTACATTTCCATTTTTTAAAGGATGCTGTCATGGTAGAAAATGAATTTAAGGCTCACAACTTCTACAGACCTTTCAGTTGTGCCTGTGGCTATTTGCTTCCTACAGTGCTGACTTGTAGTGATATCTTCCAATCCTTCTCATTAGGAGGATGGATGAGCAAGATCCAAGCCTTAGTGACTTTACAGCATTTACAAAGTTTCTTTTTAAAAGGGTTTCTTAATCTCACCTGTGCAGTTACCAGTATTTCAATGATGTGATCTTCAGCCTTTTTTTCATTTATATATTTATTCAATCACATTGGGCCAAAAACTGGAATCATGTGCAGTCTTGTTACAGCCACTCAGCTCACTGTTTTTTCTGTTTTGGGGATTATATGTGTAATCAGAACTGGAATTGCTCATGCAGGGTAGCCACTGCTGCTGAATAGTTACTCCATGCTTGTCATCCTTTGGATCATTTTCTTATTCTGCACAAAAAGTACGTGCAGAGTAGATTAATCTGCTATTTAAAGTATAGCACCCTACTTATTCCCTATCAATATGCTTTGCATTTAATTTTCTCATACAACCTATTTTGTTTCAGTGAGTCTTTCTGGTCTTGTTCTTACTGCTACTCAGTATCTAGAGTCACTTTCAAATCACTGAAAATGTTGAGTGCTTTTAAATGTGGCAACAGTCTACACACATTCTGTCTTTAAGTAAATAAAATTTTTTGGTATCTTAAGTTTTAGTTCACTTTGTGTTCCTTATTGCTCTAACACGGTTCTGAAACCACCATGCTAGTAAGTCATGCCATTTAGATACATATAATATTGGGTCACTTCTCTAACTATTACTTGCAATTGCAAATTTGCCATTTTGGTTTTCATGTGTGTGAGCGATTATCACCTTACATTGATGGTATTCAATGTGGATTTTTTTGATCTGTTAATTTATTAATTTCAGCAAGTACTGTTTCTTCTATATATTTTCTATTTGAATGTCAATGTTCTGGCCTATGTTTTTACTTTATACAAACTTATGATTTACTGGAACTGTGGTAGTGTTGCAAAATTGTCAGTGTGTAGACTTGAGGCTTCAATCCTAACTCTTCTAGAATTATTAGGAGCAAATCATATGACTTTGCCATCCCAAGTATTTAACGCTAAAAATTTCTCAGGGATAAAGAAAACATCTTTACTGCTGTTAAAGCATTGGAAGGTGCTTTCTTTTATTCATAAGATATGTAATCTTAATTGTTTCCTAGCATATTTAGTGCATATAACAGCTTTTTTTGCCTTTTGGCAATTTTACTATCCTCAGCTAATAATAAGTTATGTCACTGTTTATATTTTTTTTTTTTTACACTCTAAAAACAGTCTTATGCTTCTTAACTGTATCCATTGCAACTTTTTCTTTGTCTTTACCTTTCCAAATTGTTTTTGTGCATCATAGTTTCTAATTTACTGATACCCATTTAAAGCTTGTTTTGTCCTTTGTTTGGCAGTTTTTTCCCCTAAAAGAAAATTGTCTCTCTTCATTGTGCCTGTTTTATTCTGGAAGACAACTGATGGTTGTAAAGTACTCGAAGTACTGTTTAGGACATAGAAATCCTGCTTTAAAGAAAAAGTGTGTAAATCTTCCACTCCCGCTTTGCAAAATTACATTTGTTAGTTTGTTACCTTGATACTATTAGGGCTCAAATATATTTAAAAGGAGTGTGTCAGTAGCTCAGCTTCTAGTTTGTTGCACGTACTTAGCACTCTTCATTTTGTACTCAAATAAGCCCATGGTAGTGCAGGAAGCTAATTGTGAAAATCTGCACTGCAAGCTTTCTCTGCAAGTCTAAAATAACCTCACCCATAATTACAGATGTAAGCTGCTTAGATAATTAAACACAGACCTGCTGGACACTTACTAACATATAAACACAATTTGGTTTGCTTTGTTAGTTTCTCTTGGAGACACTGCCTTCAAAATAGGGAACAGTATGGTTTAGATGGTACACTGGGAAAAAAATGCAAGTTAAAATATGTCAATTTTGTTAATTGTTTTTATGCATGTGTTAGATATATAGACTGAAACCTGGTGGAAACTGGACATCTTTGCCTCTTTGTTTTTCAAAACTGTAAGCACCTCAGAACTGATATTGTCAACATTCCTGATTTGAGTATTTCATTTTTCTGATCTTTCTG